CTGGGCCCTCAGAGCGACTGAAGACCTCATGATGACCCAGGAGAAGTCACAGCCCTGCTCAGACCGCCCCTGTGTCCCTGACTGCAGTGACAGACAAATGTCGGTGTGACTAAGTCCCGTTTTGGAAGCAATTTCACCACTGGCTTTGGAGACAAGATCTCTGAACTCTGCCTATAGCGGGCTGTGTGATCTTGGACCAGTCACTCACCCTCTCTGGGTCTCAGCTTCATGGCTGGATTTCATAAGCAGTTCTCAGCCTCCATTTTTGCACATGAGGACATTGGTGAGGGGCTGGTATGTCACAAGTGAGTGTTACTTACAAAGGTTCCAAACTTAGCAAATGTGCTGTTCCTTAACATAAATTAGAACAGAGTCAGCATAATAAAGTTAGCTGCACTCCCTTGCATTCCCCTGTGCTTTCTTGAAAGTGATATGAGTGAGCTGGCAAGTCTGACAACCCAGCTCTCAAGGAAGAGAGGCTAGGGCATTGAGTTTTCATTCATCACGTGGGGTTTCAGAAAGAACAGTGTTCAGGAAAGAATTTTATGCTGGATGAGGTGAGAGCAGACATCCGTGCCTTGTCCTAGGTGTTTTAAGGGGAATGCATTCAGTCTGATGTTAGCTACAGGATTTTTGTAGATGCTCTTCATCTAATTGAGAAAGTTTTCTTCTGTTCCTAATGTGCAGACTGTTGTGTTCTTTTTAAATAAATCACAAATGAGTGTTGAATATTGTCAAATGATTTTTCCATCAGTTTATATGATCATGTTGTTTTTCTTATTTAGCCTATTGATATGGTGGATCATACTGATTGATATTCAAATACTGAACCAGCCTTGCATTCCTGGGGAAAATATCCTATTCAATTAGGGTGTATAATTCTTTTCATATAAGCTGAATATAATATGCTAATATTTTGTTGCAGATTTTTTTTTCTTTGCTCTTTTCTATGTTTATTGAATGTATTAGTCTATAGGCTTGTTTTTTGTAATTTTTTCCCCTAGTTTGGGCTTCATGATAACACTGGCCTCATAAAATGAACTGGGAAGTGTTTCCTTTGCATTTTTTCCCCTAGAAGGCTATAAAATTGATGCTAACTCATTAAATGTTTGATAAGATTCTCCCATGAGAATATCTGGGCTTGGGGATTTATTTTGAGGGAGGTTTTCAACTATGGATTCAATTTCTTTAATATTTATAGGGTTACTCAGATTATCTACTTCCTATTGGATGAGCTTTGATAGTTTATAGTCTTTCAAGCATGGATCCATCTCCTCTAGGTTGTTGAATTTATGTGCACAGAGTTGTTCATGTTATTCTCTTATTATCCTTTTCATATCTGCTGGATCTGCAGTATAATCCCATTTCATCCTTGATACTAGTGATTTGTGTCTTTTTCGTCAGCCTTGCTAAACAATCTTATTGATCTTCCAAAGAACAAGCATTTTGTTGATTTTCCCTATTGTTTTCTGTTTTCAATTTCATTAATTTCTATTTTTTATTATTTAACTTTCTACCTTCTTCTTTGGATTTGTTTTGTTTCTCTTTTTCTAGTTTCCTGAACTTAGATTATAGACATTTTCTTTTCTAGTGTAAATAGTTAGTGCTATAAAATTTCCTCTCGGTGCTGCTTTAGCTGCATCTGACATATTTTGACATGTTCTATTTTCATTTTCAATCAGTTCAGTGCATTTTTTTTATTTCCTGTGATACATCCTCTTTGACCCTGTGATGGTTAATTTTATGTGTCAACTTAACTCGATTATGAGGTGCCCAGATGTCTGGTTAGTCATGAGTTCTGGGTGTGTCTGTCAGGGTGTTTCTGGAAGAGATGAGAATTTGAAATACTGGGCTGAGAAGAAGGCATTGCCCTTCCCAGTGTGGGCGGGCACCACCCAATCTGTTGCGGACCTGGATAAAAGAAAAAGCAAAGGAAGGGAGGATTTATTTTCTTCCTGGCTCCCTGCTTGAGCAGGGATATCAGTCTTCTGCCATTGAACTGAACCAGGATTTACATATTCAGCTCACCCAGTTCTCAGACCTTTGTACTCAGACTGGAAGTATACTACCAGCTTTGCTGGGTCTCTAGCTTGCATTTGGCAAGCTAAGAGATCATAGGATCTCGTAGCCTCCATAATTGCATGAGTCAATGCCTCATAACAAATCTCTCTCTCTCACCCATATATTTGTGAAGCATATTGTTTAATTTCTAGCACCTAGAGATTTGAGGAGATCTTCCTGCTGCTGATTCTAATTTGATTTCATTAGGGTCAGAGAACACACACAGTATAATTTAAATTCTTTTAAATTTGTTGAAGTTTGTTTAATGAGCCAGGATATGGTCTATCCTGGCAAATATTCCACAAGCACCTGAAAAGAATGTATATTCTGCTCTTGTGACTGGAGTGTTATTTGTCAATTAGATCCTGCTGGCTGATGATGCTGTTCAGTCCTTTTATATCTTTGCAGGTTTTCCGTTTAGTAGTTCTATCAGCTGCTGAAAGAGGGTTGCCTAAGTATTCAGCTGTAACTGTGGACTTGTCTTCTTTTCCTTTCAGCTATTTGGGTTTTACTTCATATACTTTGCAGCTCTATTTGTTGATACACAAACATTTAGGATTGCTATGCTTTCTGTTTCTTGGTTGATTCACGCTTTAAGTATTACATAATGCTTCTCTTTATCCCTGGTAGTTCTCTTTGCTCTAACATCTACTTTACTTGGTATTAATATAGACACTCCTGATTTTTAAAAAAATTAATGCTTGCATGATATATCTTTATTCATCTTTCTACCTTCAACCTGCCTATTACAGTTATATTTGAAGTGAGTCTCTTGTGGGACAATACGTGATTGGATCATTTTATTAATCAACTCTGCCGATCTCTTTTAATTTTTATACCATTTAAATTACATTAACTGATGAAATGTTAGGGCTTAAATCTGACATTTGGTCATTTGTTTTCTTTTTTTTTAAATATATCTCTTTATATAGGTTTTTTTGGGTTTTTTTTAGTGGTTGCCCTACATATTCCAGTGTACATACATAACTTGTTATTTTCAACATGTTATCATCATTTTACTGTTGTCTTAGATCAGTGCTTCTCTATATGGTTCAAGGCCCCTCCCCAAACCAACAAATTCAGAATCTTTTATTGGGTGGGATTCTAATGTGCAGCCAGGCTGGAATTTCACTGCCTGGGTGCTCTCTGAGACTCCTTCCAGGAAAGATAAATTAGGCATGTGTAGATTCTCAGAGAGCCTGGAAACATGTCCAAGTCTGAAACCTCATTATAGTTCCAAGACTAGAAGTCACTTAGTACACTAAAGGACCATCCTTATGGCAGAAAGCAAACAAGAACTAAAGAGCCTCTTGATGAAAGTGAAAGAAGAGAGTGAATAAGTAGGCTTAAAACTCAACATTCAGAAAACTAAGATCACGGCATCCGGTTCCATCACTTCATGGCAAATAGATTGGGAAACAATGGAAACAGTGAGGGACTTTAATTTTGGGGGCTCCAAAATCACTGCAGATAGTGACTGCAGCCATGAAATTAAAAGATGCTTGCTCCTTGGAAGAAAAGTTATGACCAACCTAGACAGCTTTTTAAAAGGCAGAGACATCACTCAGCCAACAAAGGTCAATCTAGTCAAAACTATGGTTTATCCAGTAGTCATACATGGATGTGAGAATTGGACCATGAAGAAAGCTGAGTGTCAAAGAACTGATGCTTTTGAACTATGGTGTTGGAGAAGATTCTTGAGAGCCCCTTGGACTGCAAGGAGATCAAACCAGTCAATCCTAAAGTAAATCAGTCCTGAATATTCATTGGAAGGATTGATGCTGAAGCTGAAACTCCTATACTTTGGCCAGCTGATGTGAAGAACTGACTGTTTAGGAAAGACCCTGATGCTGGGAAAGATTGAAGGCAGGAGACGAAAGGGATGACAGAGGATGAGCTGGTTGGATGGCATCACCGACTCGGTGGACATGAGTTTGAGCAAGCCCTGGGAGTTGGTGATGGACAGGGAAGCCTGGCGTGCTGTGGTCCATGGGGTCGCAAAGAGTCGGACATGACTGAGTGAATGAACTGGACACTGAAGCAAACTTGCAGATGAAGTTAGGAAGAACATGACAGACACCTGTCCTCTCACCAAGGAGGGCTCTGCTCTTAGCCTGTGCTCAGTTCCTCTAAAAGTCAGTGCTTCCAATTGTTCTGGAGCCTGGCCATCCACAAAACACCTGAGTCACTGAGTGAGCATCACGAGATAAAGGCTCGGGACCCTTTGCCACCAGGCTTGGGGCCAGATCCCAGCCAAAGAACCAGCCTTTTATCATCTCCTTTACAGATGGTCGTTGGACACCTATTGTTCACTTCCATCCCCATTGATCACTTCCTTCCCCAGGCAGACATCACTAATAGATCACAGCACCCTTTCCAGCTGACCCCTGCAGTGGCTCTGTACCTTTCAGCAGCCTCCACTAAACAAATATGGTAAAACCTGTGTTTAATCCCTAACCAGCCTATGGGCACCTTGAACTCTCTTAATCCACTTTATATCATATTCATTCTTCACCTTCCACTGCCTGGAATCAAAGTTAGCTTGGAACACACTTATCAAACAGCTCATTTTATTTACAGATCTAGCTTTCAGACTTCATTGGTTAACTAATTCGTCCTGGTCAGAATCACTGTCCACTCGTGCATTCTCACGTCACATGGTTATGTATCCTTTATTCAGGGGCTGAGCAGCAGGTGAGACTTGGAAACATTTTAAGGAAAAAGTGAAGGGTAAAGCTGCTGAGGGAAGCACTCTGGGGGATACACCTGGAGTGGAGGCTGGCTCCACCACTTCTTAGCTTTGGCACCTTGGGCAGGTCACTTAATCACACCAAGTTTCAGTTTTTCTCTCTGTGAAATGGGGACAAGGAGAGCTATGCAGGACTCTTCTAAGTCAGAGCTCAGTGGTTTGATTCCAAAATATTTAATGAGCACCTACTATGTGCAAGGCATTCTATGAGGTACTGGAGATGTCAAAATGAATAAGACATCCATGCCAACAACCTAGCAAATAGACCTCTTACTCTATGCTGTAGAGAATGTCCCCAAAATTTCATCTGTATCAACTCCTTCATAACATGCTGGCTGTTGCTATCATCCCCACCCTACAGATGAGAAGACTGAGCCACGGGCTGACTAGGGGACTTGCCCAAGACATCACAGCTAGAAGAGGTGAGGCTGGAGCTCAGCCCCAGCAGATTATCACGGTTTTATGATAATAAGCTCTGAGCCTCAGGTTCTCCATCTTTAAAGTGAAGTTAATAGTAGTTCCCTGGCAGGGCAGATACTGGGAAGTAAGAAATATCATCTTTGAAAAAGACTAACGAGGTGCCTGGCTTATAGTTGATGCCTTTCTCTCTCCTTTTCTTCCCCTCTGTGCTGGGCCCAAAACTGCCCAGGTGAAGCCCACTTTGGGCATGTCTCACCCGTAGAGGGGCTGATGTAGGACAGGAAGGACACAGAAGAAGTATCTCAGTGCCCCTGTGGATGCCCCCAATGGACCAGTGTCCCACTTCTCACCACCATCCCGTTCTGATCCCTGCCACCCTCCACATGCCCCATCACCTTGACTGTATCCTTTGGCGCCTTTCTGATGTGTCTCTTCACCTCACCCAGGACACCAGCCCGGAATGAAAAGTCCGTTTAATCTCAACTGCCAACTCGGATTTGATTGGTGATGGCTGGCAGGTGCCCTCTGGAAGGATTCTGAGGGCCCCTCAGGGCTTAGCATTAGAATGCCCCAATCAGCTAGTGATGTCTTCCATGGGCCTGGCTTAGCTGGGTGTCCCTGGATCCAGTTTGAGATCACAGGATGCAAAGCTTTGCATTCTGGTAACCCAATCTCTGGGGTTTTCACTAAGGCAACAGGGCCCCAGAGAAGGGAAGTGATTCCCCAAGGACTCAAGTACTCCCACTTTCCAGGCCAGAGTTCATTGATTCAGTTCAGCAAACTGAGACTGGGATATTAGGCATGCTGGCAAACAGAGCCAGTGAGAAGTTCAGTGTGATGGAGGGGGCAGGTCGTCCCAGGGAGTAGGTCAGGATAAGGCGAGGAAGGAAATGGTCCTCCTTGGCATGTGCGTGTGCTAAGTTGCTATCATCATGACCGACTCTTTGTGACCCCATGGACTATAGCCCACTAGGCTCCTCTGTCCATGGGATTCTCCAGGCAAGAATACTGGAGTAGGTTGCCATACTCTCCTCTACAGGATCTTCCTGATCCAGGGATTGAACTCACCTCTCTTACATCTCCTGCACTGGCAAGCAGATTCTTTACCACTAGCGCCACCTGGGAAGCCATATTTGCATGCAGTAGGCACATAATAAAGCCTGTCGAATATGGTTCAGTGAACAAACTAGAATATGGAGCAAAATGATTGGTTGGCTTCCGAGCCATCTTGGAAACTCAACAGTCATCTCCTGACGTGTAAACAGCAGGTGTCTCTGCAATGCTTGGCCCTCCTGGCCACAGCTCTCCCTCTTGGCTGCTTTGCACAAACAACACACTCTCATCATCAAAGAGGAGCCTTTGCCCCCAGGGAATGGGATTTCCCCAGAGAAATGTGGTGGGGCAGGGGCCTGACGCCCCCTGAACACCACGATGTGCTGAGAGTTTTATACCTGCCGTCTCACTTAATCCTCAATGAACGAATGAATGAATGAAACTTTCTAAGATGGGATTTATTGTTCCCATTTGACAGGTTAAGAAACTGAGGTTTGGGGAGTTAGAATTCTTTACTGTCACTGTGCTGAGCAGCAGAAGAGCTGGGTCTGACCTCAGTCTGCGTCTACACCACTGCACCCCTCAGAGAAGTGAGGGGCATTGTCCCCTCTTGTCTTGTATGGCCTCTTGGATTTCCAGCCCTGTGCTTCCCACCTGGAGCATCTGCTCCTCTTTGGTCCTACACAGGGGACTCCTTTTCATCATCTAACTCTCACATCCTGACCTCTGATTGCAATTCTGTATGTCACCGGAATCCAACCCAAAATATATCTTTAAAGGATTCTCTTAACAAAGTCTTGCTACAGGAAAGGAACAATTATGTAACTAGCAAATGGGCTCTTCACGCCTGCTCTGTACATTCCCTTCCCAGGGTCCTTGACAGATCCTGATTAGGTAGGAGGGGAGTAAGGAGAGTTGCCACAGGACTTCTTTGGTGATCCGGAGGTTAAGAACCCTCCTTGCAATGCAAGGGACACAGGTTGGATCCCTGGTCAGGGAATTAAGACTCCCACGTGGAGCCCACACACCACAACTGGAGGATCCATACACTGCAGTGAAAGATCCCACGTGCCGCAGCTAAGACCCCAAACAGCCAGATAAACGAACAGATAAACAAACAAGAGTAGAAATAATACCTCCAAAAGGCTGTTTGTTATATGGACCACCAGGTACAGGGAAAACACTCTTGGCACGAGCTGTGGCTAGCCAGCTGGATTGCAATTTCTTAAAGGTTTTATCTAGTTCTATAGTAGACAAGTACATTGGTGAAAGTGCTCGTTTGATCAGAGAAATGTTTAATTATGCCAGGGACCATCAGTCATGCATCATTTTTATGGATGAAATAGATGCTATTGGAGGTCGTCGGTTTTCTGAGGGTACTTCAGCCGATAGAGAGATTCAGAGAACTTTAATGGAGCTACTGAATCAAATGGATGGATTTGATACTCTGCATAGAGTTAAAATGATCATGGCTACCAACAGACCAGATACACTGGATCCTGCTTTGCTTCGTCCAGGCAGATTAGATAGAAAAATACATATTGATTTACCAAACGAACACGCAAGATTAGATATACTGAAAATCCATGCAGGTCCCATTACAAAGCACGGTGAAATAGATTATGAAGCAACTGTGAAGCTTTCAGATGCCTTTAATGGAGCAGACCTAAGAAATGTTTGCACTGAAGCAGGTATGTTTGCAATTCGTGCTGATCATGATTTTGTAGTACAGGAAGACTTCATGAATGCAGTCAGGAAAGTGGCTGGTTCTAAGAAGCTAGAGTCTAAATTGGACTACAAACCTGTGTAATTTACTGTAAGGTTTTTGATGGCTGCATAACATCTCTTGGCTTAATTTTAAAAAAAGTTAAGGAAAATAATGTATGTATTGGCAACGATCTCATTAATAGCATATGAATAAAAATGTGTACGAATACCATTGTAAAAATTAGTACTTCAGTAATTCTGCTTTTAAGAAGTACAGAGGAAATTTGTATGTTTGTTAATGTTGCATTTATTGCGGCAGAAGTCAGAAGAGTATGTTGAAGCTTTTTGTATTTGCTGTATGAGTATTTTGTAAAACCTTGAAAATGGTTTGAGATAGGAGTACCAGGGAGCATTTCTTATGATTTATTTTATATCACTTGTTTTCCTCATCCTAAAAAGTTTAATAAAATCTGTTTGATTAAAAAAAAATAACAAATAAGGGAGGTACCATGGTGAACGCAGTGCCCGCTCACCTCCGCCCCCATGTCAGATCTGAGTTCTTCTGTCCAATATCACCACCTTGTATCGTGTTCCTGTCTTTGTTTCATGGAACCACAGTTCTCCTTGCTTTTCCTCAATCACCAGGCACTCCATCTTTGCATTTGCTGTTCCCTCTTTCAGGAACTCCCTTCCCGCCACCTAGTTGTATAAATAAAGCTTTCCTGGGACACAGCCATGCCCTGACCCATTGTTATCTATGCTGCTTTGGGGCAAGAGTGGCTGCGACAGACACCAGAGGGCGTACAAAGCCAAAAGTATTCACCATCTGGTCCTTTGTAGAAAACTTTGCCAACCCCTGCCGTGGCTCTTTGCAGGGTCCAGCCTTTCACCTTCTTTATGTCTTCATGTCTTTATCCCCCCTATCCTCCTGCTGCGGTCTCTGCTTTATTCTCCTCTGCTTTATTCTTCCCCATCACACTCGCCTCCACAAAGCCCTGTGGATATTTGCTACCTGCTTTACTCCCTGATGCCACTAGAGGTCAGTCACGTGGAAGGCAGGAACTTGGACTCCTGCTAACTCGATTGTCCCAGTGCCTAGAACAGTAGCTCACACATGGTGCTGGAGAAGTAAGTCAATGAATGAATGTTTCCCACACTCCGGGACACTGGTCTGGCCCATACCTCTGGGCCTCTGACTCAGTTTCCTTTGCCAGGTCTTTCCCCAGGGAGGATGAGTCCTGTTGTGAACGGATGCAGTCCCCAGGGACACTCAGCCTGGGTTCAGGCAAGCCCTGTATCATTTCCATGTCATGAAGTTCTCATCATATTAAAAAAAATTTTAACACCTTCTAACCTGGAGGGAGGTGCAGAAATGGTGATGTTTTAAATGTTTACATGTGACAGAATAATATTCTCCTAACACAGAAAAGCTTTGCAATATAATGGTGAAACTTACAAGATAGTTACTGAGTTTATTTTTGCTTTTAATTCAGTTCAGTTAAAATGTTAATTAATATCTATTACAACAAGGTAAATAATTAATTTTGAAATAGTTAAAATGAAGGTTAACTTAGATATTAATGAACAGTGCCTGGCAGGACACAAGTGAATGTTGTTAGAGAGTCACTCTTTCCTTCTTTCCTCAACCCTATGAAATGGCCATCTCATTGGAGGGAATGTCCAAAGCCTGGAACAGAAAAAAAAATCCAAAACCTCAATGCTGGAGCACTTCTAACTCCCCCTGAGACACCCGGAGCAGTGCAGGAGGGTCTCTGTCCTGCCATCAGCTTCCCCTCCACTCCCACCCAGCCTGCCCCCTTGGGTCCCTATGAGTTCCTATCAGATGCCCCCTGTCGGGAGCTTCCCTTGAGACCAATAAGCCCTGGTCAGAGCGCTGCATCCATCTATAAGGAGACACACGGGGGCTCAAGTTCACTCCCCAAATCCTCCACCACCACAGGGCAGGGATAAAAGCTGAGCCCTGGCACAGCTGGATCTTCTCCTGGGTAAGCTGTTGGCCTAGAGAACATAGTTCTTTGATGGTTGGTTGAGTGGTGGTCATAACTTCTTTTGCAAAGACGGTGCATTTTTGGTTTTTGTTTGGTTTTGTTTGGGTTTTTCTTTTTCTTTTTCTTTTTTTGGTCATGCCGTGCAGCTTGTGGGATTTCAGTTTCTTGACCAGGGACTGAACCTGAGCCATGACAGTGAAAACCCAGAATCCTGACCACTAGGCCACCAGGGAACTCCCGTAGATGGTGCTTTATTTTTTTGGCCACACCATAGGGCATGTGGATCTTAGTTCCCTGACCAGAGACTGAACCCAGGCCGTCTGCGAAGGGATGGTGGAGTCTTAACCACTGTGCCACCAGGGAAGTCCTGACAGTGCATTTTGTATATGAGCTTACTTAGGGCTTCCCAGGCGGCGCTAGTGGTAAAGAACTGCCAATGTAGGAGACAAAAGAGACGTGGGTTCGATCCCTGGGTTGGGAAGATCCCCTGGAGGAGGAAGTGGCAACCCACTCCAGTACTCTTGCCTGGAGAATCCCTTGGACAGAGGAGCAGGCTATGGTCCATAGGGTCACAAAGAGTCGGACACGACTAGAGGAACTTAGCACTAGCACTGTGGCCTGAAAGCCTGGCCAACTGGTTCTTCACTTCCTGTCTTAGCTGCCTGCCAGGACCCTAAGCGCTCCTGCGAATCTCTTTCTCTCCAGCAGACGCCTTGAACCTCAGGACAGAGATAGGGACCTCGGAGGCCATGGGAGTTGTGGGGGGAGGGGTGCCCAATTCTTCCACTTACCAGCTGGGTGACTAAAGACGAGCCGCTCAACCAATCTGAGCCTCAGTTTTTCCTCTGTTGCCTACCAGCCATGCCCTTGGAGGATACCAGGCAACACAGGCACGTGCTTAGCCCACGGCTGGCCGGTGGTCAGCATTTCCCATTCATTATCAGTCCAGCTCAATTCAGTCGCTCAGTCGTGTCTGACTCTTTGCGACCCCATGGACTGCAGCCTGCCTGGACAGGCTTCCCTGTCCATCACCAACTCCTGCATCTTTCTCGAATTCATGTCCATCGAGTCGGTGATGCCATCCAACCATCTCATCCTCTGCCATCCCCTTTCATTTCGTTTCATCTGACCTTATCAATCAGGTGAGGAAACAAGCTGAGAGGTGGAACGGCTTGTCCAAAGCACCCTGGTGAACTAGTGGCATGGCAAAGTCAAGCTTCCTGTCTCCAAAAGCAGTGCTCCCATCCTCCTTTTGAACCTTTTTTTTTCTGCACTGTTGGTTGGCTATGAGAGGGAAATGCGGGATTCTTCTGTGGGTGTTCAGCTTTGGCCTCAAGTGACCACAAGTGGGCGCCCTCTGAATTGTTCAGAGTCTCCTGGGTTCCAGTGGAGGGAGACTTTAGGTCCTTCTGCTCCAAAGTTTATGGTCTCCCAGGCCTGCAGCCCGCGCTCCCACCGCATCAGGCTTCTGAAGGGAGCCCTCCACGACCCACCCCATCCAGCACCTTCCAGAGCCCCCACCTCCCACCTCCCACCCCAGGAAGATCTAGTCTCCATTTCCAAATAGATTTGGGATCCTTGGAAGCCCCTCCTTGTTTCTGTTGAGCAGGGGCTTCGGGATCACAGTGATGTTTGTTCATTGCTTCCACCCATACCCCCAAACCTCTACCCACTGACATCTGCTCAGCACTTGCTGATGGGAGGGCGAGGCCAGGCCTGGGAGATGGAGCAGGGCCCAAGGGAGTCACCTGCCTCTCGGAGGGGACGTTCCAGGAGGGGTGGGGGACTTAGTTACAACACTGATGACAGGATGTACTTCAGTGCTTTACTGGGGGCTGAGGGTGGGACCCCAGGGCAGCCTCTGGAGGCCAGTTCTCCTGATTTGAGTTCTCAAAGAAGCAAAAGAGTCAGCCAAGGAAAGTAAGCCCCTGGTTCAAAGAAGCCACAGGGGGAGACCCATGCCTTTTGGTGAGGATCCCCACTCTGGACACTTCTCCCCATCTGTAAGTGGGAATAACAATTCATGCCTACTCTGCCTGCTCTTAGAATGAAAGAGGATACAATGACTAACAGTCGAAGCAGGTTGGAAATGCTAAAAAAAAAAAAAAAACCCACACCAACATTGGTGTTAAACAATATACGGCAGCACCAGTGTTGTCTTTCACAAAGCTCTACCCAGTAAGCCTCCAGTTCACGGTCTCCAGCATGCACCCTCCCTTCCGTGACCTGCTTGCAGATGCATTTCCTGGGTCCCTAATGACAGTCCCTGTGGGGCTCCTGCTGCTGACCCCATCAGGGCCGCCCTCCGCCTTTCCTTCCTCAGCTTTCCCCTGAGTCATTTTAAGTTTCTCGTATAAGGCCTATTAGAATAAAAGCAGGAAGAAAGACAAGCCAGGCTCCCTGGAGACCATCCTGCAGCTCTTAGAAAATTAAAGTCTATGGAAAGGATCCCAGGTGGCTATGGGCACCGTGCCCCCTGCACCCTGAGGCTGCCGGCCAGGAGGACCCGACTCTGGGGTGAAGAGCACTGTTTGAATGTTGGCATTGCCCCATCACCCCTTTTCCATCATTTTAGACTCACAGATGACAAGCTAGCTTCCATTTTTCCAAAGAGTCCTTCTGGTCTGGGGCGGGGTGGAGTGAGAAGTGAGCCCTGGGACACCGTAACCACACCCTCGTTGGGTTCAGGGACCACTTTCAACAACCCAAAAAGCACACTTACGTTCCAAAGCCTGTGGTTCATTTTGTTTTGCGTTCTCTCCTTGCCTGGCCGTGCATCACCAAGTATGCTATTCTCCACGTCTCCCAAAGTCATCTTCCTCCTGGAGGGCAGGATGGAGCCATCTGAGATCTCACCCAGAGAAGTGGGGAAGCATTATCAGAGACCAAGCGCCCTCTCTGGGGGCTCTGATTGACCCAGGAGCCCCCACCTCTTCCCCAGGATGGGAGGTCTGCTGAGGGTCCTGGGCTCTGGGTCCAGGATCAAAGGAACAGCAGGGTTTGGGGAGGGCCTTTCTCTCCCTGGTCAAGGAGGACTGGGACCACCACCCACTACTGTGAGAGGCTGGAGGCTCGTATACCTATCAGGCACCCTTTCCAAACCACTTCCTAGGGAAGCCACCTTAAATGGC